AAAGCCCCCGCTGGCAGCTGTCGAGCTGGCCGTGAGCTGAGCAGCCCCGGGGGCGACTGCTCACGGAAGGAGCGGAAGGGCCCGTTTTGGTTAAACGCCGAGACCCTGAGAAAAGAGTACGCTTTCCGGTCACCCAGTCGAAGAGCCAAAGTCCTTCCCCAAAGCATGGCCATAGGTGCTGGGGTGCCACGACGCCACAGTGGGATAGGAAAACTAAACCCGGAAACGCTCCTCCAGAAATTGTTTTCATAGTTACAGGAGAAAGTATCAGCCCTAGGTGTGGCGAACCGTGCCCAGAGCCCCGCGTACGGTATGGTAAGGGCGCTGCGTGCCCATCGGCGACGCGGAGCGCGCCTACCGTGGAAAGTCCGGAAAGAAGCAGGCAAAATTCAGTTAGCGGAGCTGGAGGGAGAGCGATCTGCTCTTACGGGAAGTGTTACTTCCGTGAGCTCTGTTCTGTGCTCCAGGGAAGTAGGAAAAGAGAAGCGTTTAGAGGGCTGCCGAATCAAAACGCGTTTGTTGCTCTCGGCCTGTCATCCACGAGATTCCCGCCAGGGAATTTACCGGTTGGCGCGTGCGTTTTCTAGACAACACCAGAGCACGCAGCAGAACTGAGAAAGGGTCGTAATGGTGGAATAACTCCCCGAGCTGACGCTTCGTTGAAGAGCCTCTTTTTCAGGGCACCATGTAAATCACCGCTGCTGCTGTTAATGCTAGGGGGAATTGCTACACCCTTATTTTCCTGCTGGTTATTTCAGAGAGTGAATGCTGAGGTGGCAGATTAAAGGTTCACGATACTGTAGTGCCGGCATGTGTTTCATCATATAATCAGCCAGCCTCACGGATGGCGACCTGTGACAAAAACATTCAGACCTCTACTTATTTGTTTCCAGGTATGTGAGGGGTGAAATATAAAGCTGCTTCTCTCCCTAGGTGAAGAAAAAGCTCCAGCCTCATAAAGGGCAGTGATTTTGCTTTCCTTTATCTCTCCTGCTGACTCTGCGGAGCACCAGCTCTCTCCTAGCTCTGTGCCGCTCTCAGCAGGCTGAGCAGTTTCATCACAGCGTCCACAGCTGCCCGGCTGCCTTGTCACAGCCACAGGAAAAAAGCCTCTTCTGTGAAGGACAAGCCAGGATCAGAGCCTGAGGAAGGAAGGGCTTTTTCAGTGGGAGAGTCTTCCAGGCCCTGTACTCGGGATTGCAGTATGAGCCTGTGGGGGCGACCTTCCCAGTCCTGCAGTAGCATTAAGTTTGGGGATTTGGTTGTGGGAGGGGAGGGGGTTCCCAAAGGCTTGGCAGGTTTTGCAGGCTACAGCGATGACCAAAATTCTGTGAAAATAAAGATATTCTTAAAAAATGTGGATGGATTGCTCTTTGGCAAATGCATCTTCATTTTTCAGCTGGCATTTCTCTAGATTCCACGTTTCTCTTCCCTTACTTTGTTTTCTGAAGCCTGGCATTTTAAGGAATAGCCTAAGGGCCTGCCTGCCCTTTCTGCGCTCATCTGAACTCCTTTCCTGTCACTTCTCCATCCTTGCAAACTCAGCAGCCGCAAAATGGCACCTTTCCTCCCAGGATTGTAAGCCCCCTCCTCCCAGCATCTCAGAGCCACCCAGCTCCCTCCCAGCCACCACATCTCAAAGGACTTTAAATTAGGTCAAGAGCTCCGCAGATGGGGGCAGGATAGAGGAGGGAGGAGTGCCCCTGCCAAAGCCAGGAGAAGGGAAGCCTAGGTCCTGCAGGGTGGCGGGGTTAAGTGCGGCTGACCCATTCCACGTGCTGGCAGCACTAAATGCTGGAGATCCTTAGCTGCTGATGTGGCCACAGTACCGTGGGCTAGTAGTAGTCCTGCCTCGCTCAGTCTTGGTGAGCTGGATCACCCAGGAGGAGGGCCAGCACTTTCCTGGGCCTTGCCCCAAGGCTGCACCACCCTCATGGTGAAAAAAATGTTTCCTAATATCTAATCGGCATTTGTCCTCTTGCAGTTTGTGCCCCTTGCTTCTCCCCCTTCTGCTGCGGGGCACAGGGGGAGAGGAGCAAGGGAGTGCACCTTGCCATGCACTCTGTTGCTTATGCTGGGCCAAGCGGCTCCTCTCGCCTCATCCCTCCTGGGGCTGGGTTGTGGCGCTGCTTGACTTCCACCAGCTGCGGGTCACATCATGTGCCAGGGCCTTCTCTGCACGCTGCATGAGGGGGATACAGGCAGCAAGGGGTGCCAGCACACGAGCTGTCCTCTGCACAGCCCGGCACGTGCGGGAGAGGACCTGGGAGCCTGCAGAAGCGTTAAGCTTAGGGCTTACCCAAACCCCAGGACTCCTGACCCCATGCCAGAAGCCCGACTTTAGGTCTGCAACACTTGCTTGTGGTCATCGGAGAGGCAGCAGTGTCGTGGTGGAGACTGTAAGAGAGTAATAGGCCTGAGTGCCACAATGGCACCAATAAATCACACTGGAGAGAGCACACCTACTCTCCAGTGCCTCCAATATGCACCTCTAAAGAGCCCTTAGGAGCTTGATTTGATGAAGTGCTGAGTGTTTCTTAAGGCCCTGAGAGCTAAGAGCAGAGAGCGCACCGCAGGAGACGCTCAGCACACCTGTAAAAGCAGTGCGGTGCTGGACGCCCGAGCCCCTCACAAGGCTGAGTGCAAAAACGCTCAAGGTCATCTGGCAGGCTTGCACTGCACCCGCTGAGCTTCGCACACCCCATAGACCCGCAGGGCTGTACGAGTGAGCCTTTTCTCCCCCAATAGCTTTCCCGGCCCCAAATACCAGTTAGGTGTTTGGAGTGGTACAAAGTTAGCTAAAGTCATTGAGTGGTTGTTGCAGGCTCCCAAAATGATGAGCATTTGGGCAGGCTGGGCTGCTTTGAGATAAGTCCTTGCGGACAAGGCCCGGGGGCAGGCCATTCTGCCATTCGTACCAAGAACACTCATATTCACACGTTCCTCTGTGCAGACACTTGTGCAGTCACAGCTTCCTGCAAGACTTCTCATAAAATAGATGAGTGTGGTTGATCTTAGGAAACGGCCCCTCTTGTGACAGCACTCTCTTCCCAGCCCTGCCCTTCTTGCTCAAACATCCACAAACACCGCAGACTCACTTCCACCCTGGGGACATGGGGCTCCCTAGAGGTGGCTGGAATAGCGCTTCCCCAGCTGAGATTTTAGAAGGGGTTTTGATTTGATTTTCTGTTTTTTGGTTCTCTGCTCTGCACCTCTGGGTCCAGGCCCTGCCAGTTTCTTCAAAGAAGGCAAGTTTCTCAGCACATCTCTACATTGATCAGGAGTTCCCTTTCCCGGGTCCTGGTTCAGCCCTGGCTTGCCAACGGATGAGTGAGAGTTTGCCAAGTGGTGGCTCGTGGATAGACCAGCAGCAGCTGCTTCTCACCAATGCTTTTGAAAGCAACATTTATTAGAAAAATCGATAGAAAAAATGAGTGAAACCAAGGCAGCCGTGCTGCCTTTTGTCCTGTGAGAGGCAGTGCACATCTTGGGAAAATCAAGCTGCTCCCACTGGAAAGACTAGTATAGATGAGTCCTTCTCTCCTCCATATCAGCTTTGTCTCTCCTTGTCCCTGGCAGCAGTGTCCCCACAGGCTCTCACACTGGGAGATTTGATTTCTATGGGTTCGTATGGGCAGCACGGGAATGGGCTGGCAGAGTGCAAACGTAGCGAGTCATGCCAAGGGAGTAGTGAGCAGCCGGAAGGAGCTGGTGACCCTCCTCATGGGCACCAACAACATACGAAATGAGGGAGAGAGGTTCCTGGGAAGGTTATGCTGCTTGGAAGGATGCAAAGTCCAGTTTAGGTACCTGCTCACAACCAACTACCCCTCTATGCAAATGCTAGAAGTTTGCAAAATGAGGCGAGTAACCTGCAAAGCCTCAATTTTAGCCAGAACCAGCACAGAGCAAAACGTCTTGCCCCTTTTAAAGTATCATGTTAAGCAATGATAGAATCATAGAAAAATTGAGGAGGGAAAAGACCTCACGCAGTCCGAACCCTGCTCAAAGCGGGTCTGATTACAGCACGTTGCTCAGGGCTGTGTCGAAGCAAGCTCTGAATATCTACAAGGATGGAGATCCCCGCAGCCACCAGGATCCCTGCCGCCACTGAACTGCTCATTCAGCCAGTGACTGGGATATACCGGGGAAGATTTAACATCCATCAGGAATAGCAAATAACACTGGGAAAACTTGAGTTACCCTGCTGTAGACTGGGTGAGCGTCACTTGGGAGCACAGCACCAAAACGACTTCTTTTGGTCACCAAAATCAACTACTTCTGGGAGCAACTGGTCAGACAATACACACCTGAAGACACAGCTCTTGAGTTAGTCCTCAGCAGCGTAGAGGCCCTGCTCCCTACCCTGGCTGCTGAAGAGACCTTCTGCAAAAGTAACCGCAACGGTCTCATAGTCGGTCCTGCTTGGAAGAGAAAAAAAAAGACAAGATTCCGATGCCTGGAGAAGAGTCCCCTATGATAATCTCGGCTGCCCTGGAAGGT